GGAGAGCGTGCCCGCGCATGCGCCGCGCAGCACCGCGGGCGGCTGGGAATTGTAGTCTCAGGACAAAGAAAAGGAGGCGGGTGAGCCCTGCCTCGGCGCGCGTGCGCGTGTGCCGCAGTGCTTCCTGGGAGACGTAGTCTCCCTGCAGCGTGGGCGGGCTGCCGCCATGGCGCCGGGCTGTGAGGAAACGGCCGTGCGGCCAGCGAGCGGCCCCGAGGGCCAGCTCACGGGTGCAGGAAAGGCGGAGAGCATCGCCATCTGCACAGCGCGGGCTCTCGGCCGCTGCCGGGCTTGGTGTGCGTCTCTAGCTGCCGCAGCCAGCTTGGGGCTGGCACCAGGCATGCGACATCGGACACAAACTGCCACCTTGAGCGGCAGGCTGGTGTAAAATAGCAGTATAAAAGGCCCCTTTTCAAATATCTTGTCTATAAAAATGGTTTCCAGCAAGTTCAGTGGTGTAATGGTTCATCCAGCTGAAGGACAAGGTGTTCTAATAAAAATCAGAAAATATAATGCAAAGAGTTGGCAATAAAATTTCTTAATCTGGTATCTGGTCCTCAGACACGTCTGAGTAGGACATGAGAGAAATGGGAAGGAGATGAAAACTGCTGTATAAATAACTTGTATTAGAATAAAAGCTTTTGTCTTAAATGTCAGGTGCTGTATACATTCAATAGGCATATTTTCAAATGATACATAGCGTTTTTTTTCTAATGAAATTTCTAAAACATCTAGAGTGTTTTGACATAATCTTTAGGATTATGGTCAAAATGTGAAATAGGGAAAATTCCAGGGGCTTTTAGTAGGTAGGAACTGGATGGAGCTTTAACAGGGATAAGATGCTACTAGTGCTAAGTGGCAATATTTAGTTCCATATAAAACAAGAAATATAGTTACTAATTAATAACTGCTATTAATGTGTTAACATCTAATGAAATACAGTGAGGAATCCCGTTTTGTTGGCCAGGTGCATCTAGAAGAGACACAGAAGCTGGCAAGAGAAGAATAAGGTAAAATGTATAAGATACAAACCTTCCTATATAAGACACAAATATTCTTGTTATAAATAAATGCATAAAAGCATTCCATACGGTAAGAGGCAGGAAGATAAAAGACAGACAAAAGTCCTGCAGACTAAATTAATCTGTTAGAATTTCTAGGATGGATGAGATTTAGAGGAACGTTAAGGGCAGATCTGCTGTAGTTCTGTGCCCAAAATCACACTGACTTTAGTAGGAATCCGACTTTGGGTTTGCACTGCAGTGATAGGAGCTGTGTCATCAGCTCTGTGAGCTCTGTGAATGACAAATATTTCCCTTTCTCTTGGAGAAAACTGGCCTGACAAGGCTAAAGATAGAAGATGTTGACATATATTGTTTATCAATAATTGTCCAAAGCAAAGCTCATCTGTCATATCTCGTAGCCATCTCCTTCAGTTGTTTAGCAACTGAATTGCTATTGTCACACATGGCAGTATTGCCCCCTGATTAAAGAGCATTCTGTCACCATATGAAGTTTGCATTATCTTTATCTCTAACTGTGATACTAGCCTCAGCTGAAAAAATGTCTTTTTTCTTTCTTACGTCTACGTTTCTCCTTCTTCCTTTGCTGTGATATATTATTTAATGCTGTTTGGTAAATATACAACTTGGTGAACTATTTTGTAGCGCAGTTTGTCTGACAGCCACCATCCAGTATTGTTGTTCAGAAGGTAAAATTGTACCTGAGTAATCTGGTTCAGTTTCAACACTTGAGAGATGCTCCGTTGGTTTCCTCACGCTCCCTGCTTGTTCTTTTAATTTTTCTTTTTCCTCTTTGCAAACAATAAGCTGTTTGTGTTTGCAGGAGCTTATAGCTGTTTGGCTAGAAGCAACACCAGTTCCTCTGAATTTTTTTTTTCAGTTTAATTTTGCAGTTCAATTTTGATGTTTGAGCTGGCTAATTTAGAATTTATGAATATGTAAGGCTCTTAATGCGTGGTAGAGTGGACCATATGGCATGAAGGGGCTCTACAATCATATTCAAAACCGAATGGATTTATAAATGTATCTCAGTCTTTTATTTTAGACTGCCAATCCAGCTGTGGATAACTACTTGTCCCTGTCTTGCAGAACGTACGGCATATCAAACTGAGAAAATGCTTAGATTTAACTTGTCAGAAATGGTTACTGGGATAAACAAAAATAATTTTTTGAGAAGTTCAGAACTCAAAAAATGTGTAAAGATTGGAAAAGTCAGCATCTTTTTTTTCAACATTTTCAAAATGAAACATTTAAACCCTGCTTTAAAACAATGTTTTTTTGTCAAATTTAGGCTACTGGATTTTTGTTGTTGTTGTTTTTTAATGTGGAAAATTCTTAAAACCAGAACGTTTAATTTCTTCTCTAATAAAACTTCTTTTCTTTTAGAAGAGGACTCTTTATTTCCTTGAAGTGGGATAATACTTTAGTTTATGTATGGGTTAGCCACAGGACCAAAAGAAAATTACTCACTCAGTTGTCCTTGAACCTGACCTGATTCACCTTCTATTAGCTCTGTCTTCTTCTTCCCATGACATTTTTTGGCACTGCGCAGCGCATGAAGAGACATGCTAGAGAGGTGGAGAACTGCTGGCATTTCAAAAAGCCAGGGATCATCCGTGGGAGTTCAACACTGAACAGGGGTATTTCTGAGGATGGGATATTAGGATTTACACCAGTCAACATCTTCATTGGTGATCTGGCAACCATTACAAAATCACTTCACAAAATCTGCAGTTGTCTCAAAGGATGGCAAAATGTTCAGTAATGCTGAGAGGAGAGTCACACCAGATTACTTGGTAAATGAGATGCATTCAAACAAACTGTGTTTTAATATTGCATCATGCAAACTGCTATAGCTGAAAGTAAGAAACGAGGGGTTAAGTACAGACTATCCTGGATACTGTACTATCCTGGATAACAGAGTTCCTGAAAAGGATTTAGGATCATCATGAGAAGCCACTCAACGTAAAAGTACACTGAGTGAAGTAACATGAAGTCTGATGTGCACCGTGGATGTATAAGTAGTAAGTAATAATAGTGGATGTATAGGTGAATATAGTGAATAGGAGAACTCTATATCATTCTGGTGTTCACATTTTTAAAACGGTGATTGAAAATTGAAGAGGCTTGTAAAACTACAAAGGTAATGCTAAGGCTGGCATAGATTGGAAGTAGAGGGGAAATAAAATAAACCAGCTTATTTGTGGTTAATTTTTAGGAGGTAAATGCTGTACTTCCAAATTAAGAGAAGATGGTGCATCTACCTGTGCTTATTGTCAATTACATTAAGAAAAGAGATGTTTCTGAAGAAGCAAAATAAAACTTTTCTTATGTTTTGCTTGTTACAAAAAGATTGAGAAGAAACTTGATCATCATGTATAGCTTTACAAGATAAAAATACAAGATCTGAAAATAATCTGATAAAGAAAGGGATAACAGGAACTACTAATTGGAAGTTGGAATCAGAGAAATTCAAATGAGACATTAGGCTGAAATATTTAACAATAAGAATGATTCACCTTTGGAATACCATGGGAAGTGCTCACTTTTGCATCTTGTACTA